GAGAGAGAAGGGGAGGGGACGAACCTCCTTTGGAGAGTGGGGGGCGGGGGGATCTTGTGCTCTGGGGAGCTCCTCTCAGCGTGATGAGGGAAGGGGCTGCGCTAGAGAGGACTCCCTCAGGAAGAGGGGCAGGGTCTTCCGGAATGGGAGAGCTGGACTCCTCCGTGTGCAGGGGGAAAAGGGGTGATTTTCTCAGTATATTGGGGGGGGGGCTCCTCTGGGTGAGGAAAGCTGCGGGGAGGATGGGTTCCATGAGTGTGGAGGGGGACGCTAAGGGATAGGAGATTCCACCTGTGGTCAGTGCGGCGCCAGCAGCTGGAGATGTGAGTTGGGACCACTTTAGTGGGGGTTCAAATGCAAGTTAAGGGATTTGAAAGGGAGAGACGTCATAGGGAGAGGAAGGCGTGGGCACAGGCCGTGCCTCCACTAGGCCTAAGTGTGCGTGTGTGTGTGTCTGTGTGTGTGTGTCTGTGTGTGTAGGGAGTAGTGCACACGAAATGTTGGAGAGCTCTTATACATGTTGAGGTTGACATCTAGAGCATTTCATCATGAGTTTCAATGTTTTATTTTTTGAATGGCAGGTAGAAAATATTAACAGGGTTAGGAATGACTGTACGTTTATAATGTGTTGTGTGAAATGATCTGATAAAATGGCTTCTAAAGCACATTGAGAATGTACCTTGACTCTTTGAATCAGAAGGTTTTTTAAAAAAGGATCTGTGTGTCTTGGAAATTTTTGGTAGCCCCAGAAGCATCCCAGGTATATTTAAAGAATCATTGTCACTAACCTATTACTGCTTTGCCTGTTCCTGAATTCCTGTGGGCAAGCTTTACCCTTCACAGAAATGTGAATGAGGCTGAGAAACTCAAATATGCAGTGTGAAAAAATATACCTCATGGGTTTAAGGCACCCAGGTAATCATTTAATGAGGTTTCCTGTATTCCTGTAATCTAACACCACTGCACACTCTCTTATTCATAATTCTGAAATTTAAAAAGCTCTGAACACTTAAGTTTGGCACCATTCAGTGGCAAAACTAGACTATAAGGTGGGACTGTTCAGTCGCGCTACCTTACCTCTTTATTTCTCCTATTTAACATGAAAATTCAGACTTTTGCTGCAGAATTATTGAAATGTTTGATTATGACTTGAATACACTGGGGGTGTTAGGTAATATGTGGGAGGTACCAAGAACTACACTTGTAAAATAAAATAAAAAATTTCCAAAACACATCTGGTCCCCAGGGATTTCAGATCAGGGCTTGCTGACCAGTCTTTCCAGTTTGTTTGGTGCCCTGGATATTTTAACCTCATACCACCTACACTCTTGGGGCAATGCTCCCTCCTTAGATGGGAGGTTGTTCTCTTTTTGCAAAGTGTAGAGAAGAGGAAGATTAGGTCCTGAACGCTAGGATGGTTTTGCAGGCAGTTTTAGGAATAGTATAGAGGGCGTTGGGAGCTCTGGGAATAGATTCCTTTAGGACAATCCATGCAGCAGGTCCTACTTTGAGTTCTTTTGCTCCAGGAGTGGCCTTGGATAGTGAGCGTTGGGGTTGAAGGAGTTGGCACATTTTTGTGGTAGAAACATCTTAGCATTTGGAAGACCCCTGGGTTAGGTTTCACTGACTCTGAGGGAGTTCTTTCGAAGTCCCAGGGAGGACTTGGTGTACTCTTTGACTCCTGGCTTTGCCAGGATGCCCAGTAATGTCTTTTGTGTTCTAGGCTGCAGTGTGTGTTGCAAATCTTCTTGGAATCAGCTACAGGACCTGTGCCGTCTGGCCAAGCTCTCATGCCCTGCCCTCGGAATCTCCAAGAGGAATCTCTATGACTTTGAAGTCGAGTACCTGTGTGATTACAAGAAGATCCGCGTGAGTCTGGGGTGACCATGGCCGGGCAGGGGTGTCTCAAGGAAGCTGGCTTCCTGCTCCCTTGCCCTACTGTCTGCATTTGATTCTAAATGGAATTTTCTTCTCTGATCTTAAAAAATAGGATTAGTAGGCCCTCTTCTCATTCCTGTCTTACTGATGGAGAAACCTAGGAACATTCTGAGGGAGCCAGGAGCCAGGATGAATCCCCAAATAAGTCTCTCCTCCCACTTCCCTAAGAATACAAACCAGTTGAGCTGCTGAGCCCAAGAGTGGGGATGAGGATAGCTAACGGTTATTGAGCACTTGTACAAGGTGCTTTCCCTCAGGAACTCATTTAATGCCCCCAGCAACACTGTGAAATGGGAACTGTTATCATGGCCACAGGAGGTAATGTTAGGAGAGTTAAGAGAACAGACTGGCTTTAGCACACATCAGTTCAAATCCTAGTCGTGTAACCCCCGGATACTTAATGCAAATTCTCTATACTTTATTTTCCTTATCTATAAAATGGGGATGCTTAGTATTATCTACCTCATATAGAGTTGTGAGGATTATATTAGTTAATACAGTACATTCAAACAGTACATGCTACATAATGAATGTTAACCAAAAAATTTAAGCTTTTCCCCTTATTTACAGATGAGGAAACCAAGGCTCAGCAAAATTAAATAACTTGTCCAAGGCCATACCACTAGGGAATGAAGGTTCAGAATTTGTACCCAGGGTGTCTGTGTAGTTAAACTGTGTCCTATAGCCGCCCCCAGCAAGAGAAGGTCCCTCTGGCTGCTATTTGGAGAACAGACTATAGGGGCAAGGGCAGAAGCAAGGGGACCAGTGAGGAGGCCACTGCTGCAGTCCAGGCGAGTGGTGACAGTGATGATGGTTGGAAGTGGTCGAATTCTGGATGTAGTTTGAAGGTGGGGTTGACAGGATTTGCTGAGGGTGGATGTGAGGAGTGTTAGAGAAAGAAGTCAAGGATGACTCCCAAGAGTTGGGGCCTGAGCTGCTAGCAGGAGGGAGCTAATGATGAGGAAGACAGAGAAGGGAGTAGGTTTAGGAGATAAAATTAAAATTTAGAATTTGACCCTGGCCAGTGTGGCTAAGTTGGTTGGGCATTGTCCCATGCACTGAAAGGTTGCTGGTTCCATTCCCAGGGCACATGCCCAGGTTGCAGGTTTGATTACCAGTCAGGGGCGTGCAGGAGGTGGCTGGTCAATGTTTCACTCTCACATGGATGTTTCTCTCTCTCTTTCTCTCTCTAAAAATCAATTAAAATTACTTTTTAAAAAGTTAGAATTTAGACAGCATGAGTAGAACAGTACTTGAACCTACTGATCCTGGCTTTAGAGCCCATGCTTTTTAACCAATGCATGGAGCCATTCCAGAAAAGGGTGGGGAGTGGTTTGGGTGTTATCCATTGGTTTTGGAATGGAAGTCTCACGAGGGCTGGTCCAAGGGTCTCGCCACTTATGGTGGCCCCCATCCCCCTGGTCCCCCCAACAGGAACAGGAGTATTACCTGGTAAAATGGCGTGGATACCCAGAGTCAGAGAGTACCTGGGAGCCACGGCAGAATCTCAAGTGTGTGCGCATTCTCAAGCAGTTCCACAAGGACTTAGAACGAGAGTTGGTCCGGCGGCGCCACCGGTCAAAGCCCCCCCGGCACCTGGACCCAAGCTTGGCCAGCTACCTGGTGCAGAAGGCCAAGCAGAGACGGGCGCTCCAGCTCTGGGAGCAGGAGCTCAATGCCAAACGCAACCATCTGGGACGCATCACTGTGGAGAATGAGGTGGATCTGGATGGCCCCCCTCGGGCCTTTGTATACATTAACGAGTACCGCGTTGGTGAGGGCATCACCCTCAACCAGGTGGCAGTGGGCTGTGAGTGTAAGGACTGCTTGTGGGCACCTGCTGGAGGCTGCTGCCCCGGGGCATCGCTGCACAAGTTTGCCTACAATGACCAGGGCCAGGTGCGGCTGCGAGCTGGGCTGCCCATCTACGAGTGCAACTCCCGTTGCCGCTGTGGCTATGACTGCCCCAACCGTGTGGTACAGAAGGGCATCCGCTACAACCTCTGCATCTTCCGCACGGATGATGGGCGTGGCTGGGGCGTCCGCACACTGGAGAAGATCCGCAAGAACAGCTTCGTCATGGAGTACGTGGGAGAGGTAGGGAGTCAGGACCATGCGTGTGTGTGCAGCTCTTCCCATCTTGTGTTTCTACTGTGTGCGCCCAGCTCTCATCACAGTGTGCCTGCAACTTTCCTGCTTTCCCTGTGGAAAATGTGGGTGGTGGTGGTGTTTAACCCAAGGGCTAGGGATATCCTGGCAGGGGAGAGTATTCCAAGCTGGTAGTTAAAAGCATACTGAAACACTTCTAGACTGGGTTGATTTCATAAGGGTACCTCGCAAAGAGAAGAGTGGGAACTGAAATCCAGGCAGTGTTCCTTTTAATGGGCCGTGTGGGGTTGCGTTACCTGCAAAGGCATTTCTCATTTTACAAGGGTCCGGCTTATTGCTAAGCAGTGTCTTCCCAGAAAGATCGCCTTTTACTAATCTGCACAAAAGAACAGTTAGGAGTAGGACATAGACATGCCTTAAGGAGGTTGGCTGCTTCCTCCTCTAGACTTGCAGGATACTGGAAAGACCAGCTATATTAGGCAGGCTAGCTGCCAGACCAAACAACTTGCAGGTCTTAGTGACTTTGCAAATGAGAAGTCTGTTTGCTCCTGTAACAGTCTGGCATGGGTGTGTGGGCAGTGTCCTGTACAGTGGTACAGCCACGAGGAGGAGCTGCCTGTGATCCTCAGCCTTGCCTGGTAAGTAGACTGAGTGGGGGGAGAAGGGGAGGTTCCTAATGGGTCAGGCCTGGATGCAGTGCACATCATGTCTGTCCACCTCCACTGTCTGGAACCGAATCACTGGCCTTACCTCCATGCAGGGCAGGCTGAGAAGTATGACTTAGCTATGTGCCCAGGTGGAAAACAGGGATTTGGGTGAATAACTGTCTGTAGTGTCACTTTCAAAGGTGGGAGCCATTGAGCATTTGGGGTGGGGCAGTTCTTTGTTATGTAGGACCATCTCGTGCATTGAGGAACTTTTAACATCCCTGGACCTGGACCATTTAAATCCACGAGTGTGCCCTGTCATGGTGACAACCCCAAATTCCTCCATATTTCCACAGGTTTCTTAGGGGTTGCTATGATTGGGAAGTGACAGAAATTGGCATAAGGGACATACCCCTGAGGGTGTCTACACAGTAGTAGTGAAACTGATGAAGAGGACAGGCTTCCACTTTGACAAACTATAAAGTAGAGAGAGTCATTGCCCTGAGGGGCAGAGATGATCTGGAGGCAGAGCAGCCCACACTTCAGAGAACCCTGATGGGGAGTCTGGATGAGGAAATGTCCATACCCCAGATAATCCTGGCGGTCTGGTGGAGGAAATGTCCACATGTCAAAGGACCTGACAGTCTGGAAGAAGGAGGAGGTGGCATTAACCCAGAGGGGTCCTGACAATCTGCAGGAAGAGATGTCCACATCCCAGACTGACCTAGAGGATAAGAGCAAATGCTCCACACTCCAGAGGACCCTGGTGGTCTGCCTTAAGAGGTGTCTGCACCCACCCTGTCCTGACAGTCAAGAAAAAGAAGTGTCCTCACCCCAGAGGGATTTTGACTGTCAAAAGGAGATCAGGTCTACACCCAAGAGGACCCTAAAGCCTAGAGGAACTGTCCACACCCTTAGGTCCTGACACTCTGGAGGAGATGTCTAGACCTCTGAGGGATGCTAGCAGTTGGGAGGAGATGTTAACACCTCAGAGGGATGTCACCATTCTGGAGGAGGATGTGTGCATACTCCAGAGCCTCTGATGGTCTAGAGGAGGAGGTGTCCTGACCCCACAGGAGCCCAGCAGTCCTAGAGGAAGTCCAGGACAGATAGTGTCTCTAGCCTCACTCTACTGTACTGATGATCTTAAGGAAAGGCTATCTACAACACAGGATCCTGAGGCAAAGAGGAGGAAGAATCTGCAGCCCCAGGCACTCCAAAGTCCCCTAGGCCGGGTACTTTTCTGGCTGTTCTTCCTTAGTGTCCTTACTCCTCTACACTGTAAACATCAGGGTTTCCAGGGACCCTCTTGTTCCCGGTCTTTACTCTTCCTCCTCTCCACACATTCTCTCTGAGCTATTTCTTAGCCTCCCTCCTGCTATATTCAGCAACTTCCAGGCCCCCCTGCAATACCCTCAGACCTGTGGGATCTGGTGGCAACAGAGGCCCCCAAACACTACCAGAGCCAAACTCATCTTGCATCCTCCTGAGGAGGCAGCATGGCAAAATGGGCCGGAGGGTGGAGCCTGGTGCCTGAGATTGAAACGTAGCTCCACCACTCATCAGCTGTCACTTCACCGCTTTGTGTCTGTCCCCTAATCTGTAGAATGGGAATGATAATTGCACCCACCTCATACACTTGTGTAAGAACTAAAAGAGTTATCATGTGTGAAGCATTTAAATACTATTCAGTATAGAGTAAGTCTCCAATCAGTGTTAGCCATTACATTCCAAAATTCAGAAACCCAAAAGTTTTTTGTAACCCATTTGGCTATAAAACCTAACTGGACCTGATTTGGGCATATTTATAGTCTTTCTCTTACTTGGTATAACTATTCATAAATTTCATTGTAAAAATATTAATTGACTTGATTACGTGGTGTTGTCCCAGACCCTACCTAGTGTTATACAATCGAGGGTACACCATCTCATACCTGTTCGCCACCCTATCCTACAATCTGGAGACAGCATTCACTCTCCTACCTCTGTGTCTGCACTGAGAGTTCCTTTACGTGAGCTGCCCTTCCTCTACTTTGCACCTTTGTACCTTCTGTCAGAACATCCCTACCCTCACTCAACAGAGAGCCATAGCCTGTTTCATCCTTTCTAAAACATTGTCTTCTTATTTTAAAAACTCTGAAGTGACAGTGAGTCTCGATTAGTTTAATTAAATGATTGCATATCATTTAATGAGCAGCAGTTTTTCCTTTCTTGGGGAAAGGGCACATAGCTTTGTTCCTAACTGAAACGAAAACAGAAACACCTTTCACATCCCTCATCTTGTCAAATCTTTACAACAGCCCTGTCTGGATGGGATTTTGTCATTGTCATCCCCATTCTACAGATGGGAAAACTGAGGCCTAGAGTAGTATAGTAAAGGGCTCAGAGTCAGAAAGTTAGTCAAGTGGATTAAAATAAAATAAAAAAAGGCCCAAGTGTTTAAAATTGGTGCCCTGCCAGACCTGGTGGATTTTTTTGTTTTCTGGTTTTGTTTTGTTTGTTTTTTTTTGGCTGAGGAAATAGGTGTAGGGAGAGAACATTTAGGGTCCCATATCTGGGAGGGGGCAGAGTTCTGTGGTTCTGTTCACGTCAGCACCCTTTCCAAGCTGCCAGTTTATAGCCCACCCATCTTCCCCAGTCATTCTGGAGAGTTGCTAGGAAGCAGAAACACGAACTGATTTGTTCCTGAGTTTTCAGGGTGGCCCAACCCTTACAGAATGGGACTGAAAAGAAGACAGCAGGAACGGTTTGTACCCTGGAGGGCTTGCAGTGTGACTCATTCCTGGTGAGACAGGGAGAGCAGGTAGGGGCAGAACAGGCAGGAAGATGAGACTGGGGAAGTTGTGGGGCATTCCCTCTGGTTGGGGAGAGGCTGAAAGGCAAAAACTGGCTCAGACACCACCCAGTATGCTGGAAGCCCGGCAGAGGCTGCCCTTTGATCCTAGGGCTTCAGAGAGGCTTGGTGGGTGGGGACTGGGAGATTGAGGAAGGCTGCACAGAGAAGTAACATCTGGAGCTGCCACCACAAAAGAAGAGTGCGTGCTTTCCAGGAGGTAGAGGGAGACTGGCCTTGCTGTTCTCTTCCTCAAAATGCTGCTGTGCCTCCTGTTGTGTCCCTCAGGAGAGAGTCCCCATTCTTCAATCTAGTGTCAGAGCCCTTTTATGACCTGCAGTTTGGTTTCGGTGGTGTTTCTCTTTCCCAATGCTCTTGAAACCCTCCACATTCTTTCACTGTGAATGTCTGAATCCATCTCTTCTCTGTCACAAGACTGACCCATGAAAGATAGGACTGGGCCTGGTCCCTGTGACTCGCCCACTGAACTGACCCCTGAGGGCCAGGACCGAGCCTGGTTCCTGTGTTGTCTCCCCCACCCAACTGTGACCCATGCCTGCCCCTGCAGACACTGACTTCTGAGCATTACGACCAGGTACAGGGTAAGCCTCATAAAAATCCACTGAATGAATGAGTGGATAAATAAATCCTTGGGGTACAGGGAAGCCAGGTTCCTGAAGGAAAAGCTGGAGTATGGGGCAGTGAGCAGTGTGATCTGAGGGATAAATCTTGTTCTCCTAAAGGTGTTGTTGATCAGCATTTGACAGGGGACAGGCTGGAGGTGATGGTGTAAGAGGCAGGTAGGAGACAGGACACTAGTGTGGCCATGCAGGGTGGAGAAAACGGTGGTCAAAGCTAGAAGGGGAGATCTGAAAGTAGAAACAGTGTGGCTCCTAGCTGGCATGAGGATGAGCAAGAAAGGAGGCAAGGGTAGATCCAGTGTCAGAAGGGGGCTGGTGATGGCCACTGGGTCTGCAACAAAAGGAGAGGGAAGGAAGAAGGTGTGTGTGTGTGTAGGGGGAAGTGTTTGAGTTGCCAGTAGGACTACTGCTGGACATGGTATAGGTTGCTGGGCTAGAAAGAATAAAATGGCATTTCTTGCGAGTCTGCTGTGTGCTGTACACTGCTGGCACTTGTTTTTGAGGGTTGGGTGGAATCCTGGGAGAGGAGAAAGATCTGCCTGGTCGGGAGGGACCCTAGGCTGAGGCGTGGGCAGTTTTAGGTACCAGGGAACCCTCACCCAGAGACTGGCATGGTCAGCTACACCAGAAGGGGGGATTACCAGAAGGCTGTTATGGTTGGCCCCAGGGGGAAGAGGGAACTTGAGGGATGGAGAGGAGAGATTGGGCTGGATGGCGGTGGGGTGGAGAATCCATCTACAGCAGGGGTCCTCAAACTTTTTAAACAGGGGGCCAGTTCACTGTCCCTCAGACCGTTGGAGGGCTGGACTATAGTTTAAAACAAAACTATGAACAAATTCCTGTGCACACTGCACATATCTTATTTTGAAGTAAAAAAACAAAACGGGAACAAATACAATATTTGTATTTGCATGTGGCCCGCGGGCCGTAGTTTGAGGACCCCTGATCTACAGCCTTTGGGAGGTAAGGACAGGTCAGGGCTAGGATCATGGAGCAGCTTCATGTTTACTAGGTTAGCAGGGGACCCAGCCTTTGAGAGATGTCTCCTGCCATCTTAAATTCCAGTAGTTGATACTGCATAGCCTCGGGGCTGAGGGAGGGGCTCCTACCCAAGCTCCTGTCTCCTCTCTTTCATCTTCCTTCTGTGTTTTTGGCCTCAGCCTTTTTCTTGCATCTGAGATTCTCAGGGATCTTGGTCTTATCTCTGGACCTGGATCTTGCATATTAAGCTTCTGTCTGTTTCTCACTCTGCCTCTAGCTCTCCTGTCTGAGTCTCCCATTCAGTCTCCCTGTCCCCACCAGCCCAGGGCGCTTCTGCTTCTCTGTGTCCTTCTCACTGCTGTGTACATGGCCCTGTACAGCCTGTCTTGTCTTGTGCTGGGTCCTGTGAAGCCTCAGGCCCCTTTGCCCTGGATTAGTCAGCCCCTCCTTCTCCCTGCTTTCCTCTCCCCTCTCTGTTGAGCCCTGAGTCTTTTTCTTTCTTGCCCTTGATTTGCATCTCCTATATCTCACTATGGGTCTCATGATGGGGCTATATCTGTGTCTGTCTGTCTGACTGACTACTTTATCACCACTAGACCTTGTGGCCAGCCTTCACTCACCATTGAGAGACCCCCTAGACCAGCGGTCGCCAACCTTTTGGACCTCATGGACCACCAGTGGTCTGCGGACCACCAGTTGGCGACCGCTGCCTTAGACCATCCAGAGGCCTGAGGATGGATGGGTGGTGGGCAGCTGAGGCCTAGCCCCCTGGGAGGACTGACAGACCCTCTGCCTCACTGCCTCCCATGTGTCCATGCCTTCCAGCCACATGGGTGGGCTGCCGCCCTGCTCACTTGTTTTTCTCCTCCTGGGGGGCCAGGCACTGTGCTGGCTTTCCTTAGCCTTCTTGACCAATCCCTTCTCTCCCATGACCCTCTCCCCAGATTATTACTTCGGAGGAGGCGGAGCGGCGGGGCCAGATCTACGACCGCCAGGGTGCTACATACCTCTTTGACCTGGACTACGTGGAGGATGTGTACACTGTGGATGCTGCCTATTATGGCAACATCTCCCACTTTGTCAACCACAGTGTGGGTACCCTGCAGGTGGGCGAGGGTCGGGAGGAGCAGGCTGGGCCCCTCCTCACCCTCCTGCTGTTCTCTTTCTCCCAGTGCGACCCCAACCTCCAGGTGTACAACGTCTTCATAGACAACCTTGATGAGCGGCTGCCCCGCATTGCTTTCTTTGCCACAAGAACCATCTGGGCAGGCGAGGAGCTCACTTTTGATTACAACATGCAAGGTGGGGGTGTCAAGGGACTGGGGGCAGGGGCACACAGTGACATGGGACACAAAGACCCCTCCCCAAGGAGCTTTAAGATGCTCTTTCTGACTCCCAATCTCCCATCTGGACTTTTCGACCCCTGCCTACCCTTTGGGGGTCCCCTCATTCCCAACCCCTGGACCAACTTCTCCCAAGACTCCTGGGGGAGGAAGATGTTTGGCTTGAGAATTAATACTTCTCCTGATTTCAATCTTGTCTGAAATATCCTCAGTCCTCCAACCCTCCCTGTTCCTAACCCTTTTTGGCTTTCCTCGTTCCAAGCCTCTGGACACCCTATGGCCTCCAACCAGTCCCCTACTTGACAAACTAGCCACCTCTGAGACACTCAAGAGGGGATCTTTGGCAGGAGAGTTCAGATATCCCTCTGATGCCCAGGTGACCCTTCATTCCCGGACCTCTGCCTGCCATAACCCTCCTGGTTCTCCCCAACACTCCCTGCCTCCCCACAACCCCTGGCCATCTTCCTTTCCCCCGTATAACCCCCAAATCCTGGCCATCTTCCTAACATGTGAACACCCTCTAGTGCTAAGCCCTGGCCCCAGCCCCAAACTACCAACTCCATGACCCCCCTCCTGACCCAAATCCCAGACCTGTTCCCAGCCCCCAAGATCCCTGGGTCTCATGGTAAAGGGGCAGTGGGACACTACACCTAGGCCTTCTAACAAGTCCCCTCCCCCCTCCTGCCCTCCCTGGCTGTGTGACTCCACAGTGGACCCCGTGGACATGGAGAGCACCCGCATGGACTCCAACTTTGGCCTGGCTGTGCTCCCCGGCTCCCCCAAGAAGCGGGTCCGTATTGAATGCAAGTGTGGGACTGAATCCTGCCGCAAATACCTCTTCTAGCCCTTCGAAATCTGAGGCCAGACTGACTGTGGGGGCCTAAAGCCCATCTCACCCACCCCTGTACCCACTTGCCCTCCTGTTGAGGAATGACTGCCAGGGCCTCCCGCCTGCTTCCACCCACCCCCACCTGCCCTGTGCTCGGGGTTGTGGTGAGGACTGACTTTCAGAAATCCCCTCTCCCCATCCTAGCTCCATGGGTTGCACTTAACAACCCTTTGCCCATTTTGCGAAGTAAGCTGTCAACATCAGGAGTTTCTGCAGTTGAGATTCACAGCCTATTAAGGGGGTTCCAGGGGTGAACCCCAGCCCCAGAATAGAAAGATGGTTATTCACCTGCTTCAGCCTGGAGCTTGAGAGGTCTGTTGCAGGCCCTCTCCCTACTGCTCCAGGAGTGTGGAAGCTGCCCCAGCGCAGGCTGACATCAGAGTTCAGACTTCCCAGCCCATTTGGTGAAAGAAAGAGGGTTTGTAGGGCTGGGGACTGGTTTCTGCTTATGCTCACATGTAGGCTTTGCATCCCAGAAGTAGCTGCCCACATGCCACTGGAAGGAGAGTGGATGCCCATGGCTCACTGGTCACTGGCCAATGAGAGGAAGGCAGTCCAGACTCTCCGAACCCTTAAGGTGGACTGGGATTGAGCTCTGCCCATGAGGTGCACAGAAGGCGCCTGGGAGCCCCGTCGGCGTGTGACGACTGCTGGGACTACTCAGAGCTGGAACCAAGACCTAGGTAGGCTGTAGATAGCACTTAGGACAAAAATGTGCATTGATGGGGTGGTGCTGAGGTGCCAAGCACTGGGCTGAGCACCTGGTCTACATAGATTGTCTCAGGGAAGCCTTAAAAACTGTGGAGGTGGATCCTAGGAAAGGGCCCATATGGCAGGAGGCCAAGTACAGTCTCAAAAGTTACCTGCCCACAAATGTACAGAAGACGAAGGGTCTGATGGCTGCCTCACCCCTTGCTTCCCCTGTGAGGTCTTCTCCAGGAAGCCTTCCCTGACTACCTGTGCCCAGAGCGCCCCTCTGTGAGACTGTGCCCTGCCACCAGATCTGTGTGGCTGTCTGTTTGTCTGTGCTCCCTGCCCCTAGACTGAATTTCAGGCATGGACTGAATCTCATTCTCCTCTTGTATATTTCTTGGCCCAACCCAGCCTGGGGTAGGCATCAATAAAAAGAGTTGCTGACTGAACAAACCAAGGTGTGGGGATTGAAGACCTCACGTAGGTGGGGTTGGGGGGATGAGAGGCTGGGAGCTGGGGTACCCAGGGATGTGTTCCTCAAATCTCAACCATTTGACTAGAACACCCCCACAGCATACCACCTCCACCATTGTCTCCCTAACATCTTGACTTAAAAGAAGCTTGTTTTATACTTAAAATTTTAAAATGCACTGAAAAAGCAAACTAAATCCATTGCTGTCTCAATAGACAAACCATTATCATTGGCCATAAAGAAAAATAACCCGAGAAATAAATACGGTGGAAATACAGAAATATGATACAATTCTAGCTGGGTCCTCCCAGCTCTTAGAGGCTTTGAATCCAAAGCCTGCCTACTCCATTCAAACAGAAAATTTTGTATTTTTGTTGTATTTACATTTTCTGCAAATAATTATTGAGCACCTAATATGCACCAGGGTAGAAAGTGGAGAGTAAGGAGATGATGTTTCAGATATACTTGTTTTGATCATCCCTCAACCTGAATGTGAGGCTGTGCCTTTTGTTCTTGCTCAGAGACGTCACATGCTGTGACACACTTACCCAAAGATTTCAGAGACTTGACATTACAGGTGACAGAATTGTAAAAAACTAAGAGACTTCCACACACAGCATGTAGGACATAGGCCTCCAAACAGCTCCCAGACATGTACTCTGGGTACTAACCCCAGACCTCAGAGACCTCACACCTGGGATCCAGCTCGGAGATCTGGGACATAGGCCCTGAATAACTAACAGGCTACATCAAAACTAGGGAGCCAGACTCATAAACAGCCCCAAGACCTAAATGCTGCCTCCTATGCTGGGATCTGGACCCCAAACACATTACAGAACTTTCTTTTGGGATAGAAATGCACAAACATCTCAAAGACCTCACAGCCTGGGATACTGTTACCTAAGTTATTCAGAGTTTTCACACCCTGATAATCGATTCTCAGACTGCTTGGAGCCCTCCCATCCTGGGACAGATCCCCAAACAGCTGGGATGTCACACCCCAAACACCTGAGACCTCACACTCGGAACACAGATCCCTAAATGATCCTGAAACCTTACTTCTTGGACACAGACCCCCAAATTGCTTAGAGACACCCTGAAAAACTAAACACCCCAAAGACCTCACTCCCTAGAATATGGTGCCACAACAACTTAGAGCCTCAAGTCTTAGACATAGACCCCAAAGAGCTTAGAGATCTCACAGCCCAGTGCCATGTTTAGAGAATTCTGACGCTGGGAAGGAGATCTGTGTATAGCTCAGAGACCTCACACCTGACACCCCAAAATGGTTCAGAATAGGGCACCAGAGGAAAGACTACCAAATGCTTCAGAGACCTCAAGCTTTGTAACCCACACATCTGAAAGTCTGCCTACAGACCCCCACAATGCTCAGACACTTCAGAACCAGGGATACAGACCCACCAATTCCTCAGAGAACTTACACACTGGGAGAGAGATGGACAAATAGTTCAGAGACCTCACACCCTCTTCCAGACCACCAGACAACTAAGAGACCTCATACCCTGAACACAATACCCAAGAGTTCCCAAGTCCTACACCAGCTCAGAGACCATGATATTAACACAGATTGCTGTTCAGAGAGGTCATGTACTGGACACAGACTTCCTAAAAATAGCTCAGAGCCTTCATATACTAAGAGACCCCCAAGACGCCTCACTCGGTTTGCAGAAGAGCTCAAAGATCTGAAAATCTGAATACTAATCCTCTACATAGTTAAGAGACTTCACACTTGTGATACCTCAAATATACCTGAGATCACACAACCTGGACACAGACCCCAAACAGCTTATAAACCTCACATCCTGGCTTCAAGTCCCCAAACAGCTCAGAATCTTCACTGTAAGCACGAACCTCCAAATGATTCAGAAATATACCCTGGACTCAGACCTCAGAACCATTCATGGAACTTATCCTTTGTACTCATATCCAAAATTGACAGAGATTAAACAGCCTAGAAACCTCACATTCTGTGCAAAGTCTGCCACAAACAGCAGAGACCTCATAACGGACAGAGACCCATAGCAGCAGAGGGACCTTACATTGTGGACACAAGCTCTCAGACAACTCAGAGAACTTTTTAAAAAATATATATTTTTTATTGATTTCAGAGAGGAAGGGAGGGGGGTAGAGAGAAAAACATCAATGATGAGAGAGAATCATTGATCAGCTGCCTCCTGCATGCCCCCTTTTAGGGATCGAGCCCGCAACTTGGGCATGTGTCCTTGACTGAAATTGAACCCTGGACTCTTTAGTCTGCAGGCCGATGCTCTATCCGCTGAGCCAGACCAGCTAGGGCTTCAGAGAACTTCTAACCTGGGAGATACAAAAAGAGCTCAGAGACAGCACATTTGGCTGCATAGCCCCCACAGCTCAAGTACTTCACATTATGGGACAGAAACTCTCAGGGAGTTCATTAACCTCACAATCTGCAAAGCAGACCCACAGGTTTTCCAGAGGCCCCACACGTTAGACAATGCCAAAGTGCTCGGAGTTAACACAACTTGCACCCTAAGACACATCCCCACACAGCTCACATACATAACCACCTGTACACAGATACCCCCCCCCCAAACACCTGAGAGACATCACACTGGTAACAGAACCCCAAACCACTCAGATACCTCAGACTCTGGAACTGAGACTCCCTCAATAGGAACTACTGTGCCCTTGGAAACACAGCCCAACAGTTAGGGACCTCACCACCAAGGGATACGGAGATCAGAGATCTCACACTCGGGGACACACCTCAGAAGTCTGAAACAGCAGACATCAAAACTCAGGAAACAGATTCTGAAACTGCTCTGAAAAATCACACCGAGGACAAAAGTCACAACATCATAGAGAACTCATTCCCTCCCTAGGATATGGGCTCAAAAGTGTTCACACCCTGAGCACAGACACTCAAACACATCAGAGTCCTCATCTGAGGGTTATGGGCCCTCAGACCTGAAAAGAGAGACTTCTAAATAGTTCAGAGACACCGTACTCTGCACAGACACCACCACAGAATTAGATTTTATACACAAAATAAAGGCTTTCAAACAGCTCAGAAAAACTAACTGGGGCTTATGTGCGCACACACACACACACACACACACACACACCACACCACACCACTGAAAGCTCACAGACCGTACCCTGGAACAAACCCCTAATGAGTCACACCCTGGGACAGACCTCCCAAGAGGAAGAGGTTTCATACCTGAAAATATATCCCGAACAGGTCAAGGAGCTCTCGAACCAAAAGAGCTCAGGGACCATGTATTGTAGGACAGTCACCCAAACAGCTCAGTGAACTCACCCCTGGAAAGTAGACCAGAAAAAGCTCAGAACTCTTGAATCCAGAATTCAGAGAATTAATATGCTGAATATAGAACATCAAATCATCCAGAGACCTCAAATCATGGGACATACACAACCAAACAGGCCAGGGACCTCACACCCTGAGACATACACACAAAAACAGCTCAGAGAATTCAAATTCTAAGAAATAAATGCTCCCAAAGAGCAGACCCCACACCCTGTGACATATGCACAAAAATAACCACATGAACTGAGCTTTATACCCACAAATATTTCATAGAAATAGCATTCAGGGACATACACCCACACACAGATCAGAGCACTCACATCCTGGGAAATAAACCAAATGGGTCAGGTAGCTCACACATTGAGACCTATACCCACAAAGAGACCAGAGACTCAAATCATGGGGCATAAACTCAAAACACCTCAGAGACCTCACATGCTAGATCAAAGGAAAATAGGTGGCAACCTGGGACACAGCCATAGACAGACCAGAGACCACACACTGTTGACAAACATACAAGGACAGACTGTCACACCTGAGACAAACAACCATAAGAGATATCTCACATCCTGATGGACACCCACAAACAAGTCTGACACCCTGGGCCACGGACCCTCAAATGGATCAGACTTCACACCCTTGGACATACACCCACAGACAGTAGAGCTTGCAAGTTGGAAAGACACACAGAACTAGATGACAGACTTCTCATCCTGGGACATAAACCCAAAAAGAAGTAAGAGAACTCAGGTCTTAGCACACAACACCCATAATTACAACAGAGACTCCTATCTTCAGGCACGCCTGCAAAACATCAGAGCACACCCCATGGAATGTACACCCTCAGAGAGATCAGATATTGCCCACCCTTTGACGTACAGCAAAATAAATCAGAGATGCATATTCTAGGAAATACACTTCAAAATCCTGGGAAACATTCACAAAGAGATTAGAGACCTTAAACCCTGGGATATATACCCACAAACAGATAATAAACTACATACCCTGAGAAACATACCCACAAACAGCTGGGGATTTCACATCCTGGAACTAACAGCAAGAAGCAAACCAGAGACCTCAAAAGCTTGATAATATACACGAAGAGGTTAGAGTTATCACATCTTGGGACATATAGTTTACAGACTTCAAGATGTTTACAGACTTCACATGCTGGGAAATATGCACCGAAACAGATCAGAAACCTCACATCCTAGAACACACCCTCAAACAGATCACAGACATAAAATCCTGGAAAACACAACCCATAAACCATTCATAAACATTGCATCCTGGAGCAAACAACGGCAAACAAATCAGAGACCTCATATCTGGGGACTACCCACAAAGAGAATACAGATAACAGATCCGGAGGCACACACCCAGAAACATATCAGATAAAATCCTGGGAAGACAGCCATAAACAGATCAGAGAGGCCCACCGACAAAACACAGAGTGGAGAGAGACACATTCTGGAATGCATACCACAAACAGCTCAGAAAAATCCCATATGTTGGAAAATACAACCACAAACCCCTTAGAGACTTCACATCCTTGGACATATACCAACAGATCAGACACCTCAAAAACCTACAAATCAGACATGGAAACATCAGCCCTCATATAGGGGAATCCACCCAAAAACACATTAG